TGAAAGGCCCAAACAGACAAAACAGTCTTGAAAAAGAAGAACAGAAGAACAAAACTAGAAAACTCATAACTTTCTGATTTCAAAACTGAGTACAAATCTACAGGAATCAAACCAGCATAGTACCAGAATAAGAACAGGCATAGGCTTATAGACCAACAGGATAGAATTCAAAGTCCAGACATAAATCTAAACTCCTATGGAAAATTTGTTTTCAACAGTGACACCAAGACCATTCACTAGGGAAAGAACAGTCACTTCAACAAATGGTGCTGGGAAAACTGAATACCAGATGTAAAAGAATTTATATATAAAAATTTAACTAAAATGGATCAATGACCTAAATATAAGAGCTAAAACCATAAAATCCATAGGAAAAAACAGGAGTAAATCCTCATGATTTAAAATTTGGCAGTAAATTGTTAGATTTAATACCAAAAGCACAAGTAGTAAAAGAAAAATAGATAAACTGGATTTCACCAAAATTGACACTTGTTGTGCATCAAAGGACATTATTAAAAATGTGAAAATGCAATCTGTATAATGTAAGAAAACATTTACAAATAATCTATTTTATATGGGTTTAACATCCAAAATATACGCAAATGACCAACAGGTATATGAAAAATGCTCAACATCACTAATCACCAAAACGTGCAAATTGAAACCACAATGAGCTATTATCTCACTCCAGTTAAAATAGCTTTTATCAAATAGACAGGTAATCACAGATGCTGGCGAGGATGTGGAGAAAGGGAAATCCTCATACACTGTTGGTGGGAATGTAATTAGTATAGACACTGTGGAGAACAGGACAGAAGTTCCTCAAAAAATTAAAAGTAAAAATATTATATGATCTAGCAATTCTACTACTGGGAATACAACCAAAAGAAAGGAAATCAATGTATCAAAGAGATATCTGCATCCTCTTGTTTAGAGACACTATTCACAGCAGTGAAAATAGGCTCATCGACCTAAGTGTCCATCAATAAAAGAATGAAGAAAATGTAGCCTACATACACAATGGGATATTATTCAGTCACAGAAAAAACAAAAATCCTGTCATTTGCAGAAACAAGGATGGAAATGGAGGGACATTATGTTAAATGAAATAAGCCAAGCACAGAAAGACAAATATCACTAGTTCTTAATTACATATGGGAGCTGAAAAAGGGGATCTCATGAAGACAAAGAAGATACTGATGATAATCAGGGACCAGAAAGTGGAGGGGGGAGGAAGAAATGAATGGAAAAATAATACAAATGTATTTATTACCGCTGAAATTCACACTTAAAAATGGCAAAAAAAAAGGTAAATTGTATATTTTAGCTTAATGAAAAATAAAATTATAAAATCCAGGATATGTAAATATGATATATGCAATAACAATAATAATTTGTTATAATAAATACTTATTAATGAAAATGGCTAAATATATAATAATAAAAAGACAACTCAATTAAAATATGGGCAGAAGACTTGAAGAGATATTTCTCCCAAGAAAATATACAAATGGCCAACAAGCACAGGAAAAGATGTTCAATGTGAAGCCGGGCTCGGTGGCTCAGCCTGTAATCCCGCGTTTGGGAGGCTGAGGTGAGTGGATTGCCTGAGCCCGTAGGTTCAAGACCCGCCTGGGCAACTTGGTGAGACCTCATCTCAACAATAAAAAAAAAAAAAAAATTACCCAAGCATGGTAGCGCGCCTGTAGTTCCAGCTACTTGGAAGGCTGAGGCGGAAGGATCACCAGAGCCCAGCAGGTAGAGGCTGCGGTGGCCGGGAGCGTGCTACTGCACTCCAGTCTGGGCGACAGAGTGAGACTCCAACTCAAAAAAAAAAAAAAAAATGTTCAATGTGACTGGTCAATAAGAAAATGCAAATCAAAACTATAATGAGATGACATTTCACATCTACTGGGATGATTTTAACCAAGCAAGGATGTAGAGAAATAGAAACCCTCATACATTGCTGGCAGAAATGTAAGGTGGTGCTGATACTTTGAAAAACAGTTTGTCAGCTTCTCAAAATGCTAAGCATAGAATTACTATATGACTCCAAAATTCCATTCTTTGCTATATGCTAAAGAGAAATAAAGGCATATGTCCACACAGAAAATTTAACATAAATGTTTATCCCAGCATTATTTATAATAACCAATACAATGAAATAGTATTCAGCTATATAAAGGAACAAACTACTGATACATGCCACAACGTGAATGAACCTTAAAAAGAGTATGCTGGCCGGGATCAGTGGCTCAGCCTGTAATCCCGCGCCTTTAGGAGGCTGAGGTGAGTGGACTGCCTGAGCCCACGGGTTCGAGACCCGCCTGGGCAACTTGGCGAGACCTCATCTCTACAATAAATCAAAAAATCAGCCGGGCGTGGTAGCACATGCCTGTAATTCCAGCTACTCGGAAGGCTGAGACGGAAGGATTGCCGGAGCCCATCAGGTTGTGGCTGCGGTGGCCGGGAGCGGCCACTGCACTCCAGTCTGGATGACAGAGTGAGACTCCAACTCAAAAAAAAAGAGTATGCTAAGTGAAAGAAGCCAGACACAAAAGGTCACGTACTGTATTATTTCTGTGATATAGTATATCCAGAATAGGTACATCCACAGAGACAAAAACCCAATTAGAAGTGTTAGGGGAACGGGGATGAAGGAAAAGACAGTGAATGTACATAAAAAGTACAAAACATTTTACAGGGTGATGAAAGGGTTTTGAAACCAGAGAGAGCTGGTAGTTACATAACACTATGAACACACTAACTATCACTGTACTGTACACTTTAAAATAATTAACTGTAAATTTTGCCTCAATTTTTAAAAAGGAAATAGAATACTTAATAGCATATGTAATCAAGTAAGTGTAAGTCATGTAGACTAAAAACTACTAATTACCATTGAAAGAAAATTAAACAAGGCCTAAAGAAATGAAAAAATGTCACTTGTTCATAGGATGAGAAACTTAATACTGTAAAGATGGCAATACCTCACAAATTCACTGCATCCCTATCAAAACCCCAGTGGCTCGTTTTTGCAGAAATTGACAAGTTAATCCTAAAATTTATATGGAAATGCAAGGTGCTAAGACGAGCCAAAATAACCACAAAAAAGAATAGTGCTGGAAGACTCACTTTCCAATGTGGAAATTTACCACAAAGCTACAGCAACCAAGTCAGTGTGATACTGGATAAAGATAGACATATAAACCAATGAAACAGAAATGAGAGTTCAGAAATAAACTAGTACCTCTATGATCAACTGACTTTCAAAAAGGATGCCAATGGGAAATAATAGTCTTTTGGACAAGTCTTTTTTTTTTAGTTGAAATCTCACTCCGTTGCCCAGGCTGGAGTACAGTGGCACACTCACAGCCACGCCAGCATTGACCTGCTGGGCTCAGGCGATCCTTCCACCTCAGCCTTCCAAGAAGCTGGAACTACAGGCACGCGCTACCATGTCCAGCGATATACATATACATACTTTTTTTTTTTTTTTTTTTTTTG